AGAAGTCTAAATACCAACCCAAGAGGGGCCCAGTCCAGTATAAAGGGACAAAGCGTTAAATTATCAGTGTTCCAGAAGTGGGGCCAAGATCAGCACATACCTCTGTGGACTGTCCTCTCATCCTATTGCATGGAACAGTTGTTTGTTAACCAGACAGTGTCGCTCACCTGCAGTCCCACCACTGTAGGGGGCTAAGGCAGGGGCTCATGAGTTTGAACCCATCCCAGGCTAGCAAGACCCTGTCTGTAAATTTTTTGAAGGTTGGAGATGTAGCTCAGTGTGGTGGATTGCCAGCTGGTGGTCAACTTGTCATACCCAGGTGAACTGAACTAGCACGGTGTTGGGTGCAGGAGGCCCACCAACGGTTGTTGCCAGCAGCAGAAGAGACAGAACTGGATAAGATGTTATGAGGCTATATGGGAAGCTGTTTGAAGAATCTGTTGGTTCTCTCGGGCTGTTCTTCTGGAGGACCTTGTCATGCGGACTTCCCTGCTAACCTTGGTTGTTCCCATCTGAGGAGGAGCTCAGCACCCCGTTGTTGGTGGGAATGGCCACAGTTCACTTTGGGAACCTCTGGTGCAGAGAGGCCAATGGTTCGCAGCTCAGCCTCCTGGGGAAGCTTGTCACATTGGCTTTCCTGATGGGAATTCAGCTTTCCTCGTCGTGAAAGGCGCTCACTCAGGACCTCACTGTCGCTGCGGATGGCAGTGGCACTTCTCGGGAGGGAGCTCTGGTTCTTGCCTTGAGTGTCGTTTCCTGGCTCCAGTGCAGATCCCTCAGCCTGCTAGCACTGATATTTCATTCTGCTGGCATTTCTGGCTTCCACCACTGACCTTTGTTTGGGCCTCCCCAGCGTAGATTCATGAAGTGGGCTTGATGAGACATTGTGGAGGGCTCTAGGCCTCCAGCTGGACTCCTGGGGGCATTGTTAAGAGTGCTAGGTCTCCAGCTGGACTCATGCAGGGTATTAGGATCCAGGCCCTCAGCTGCATTTTTTGGTCTTTAGTGTGTGGACAGATTTCTTGCACTCTTTATATATGATTCTTTGGGTGATTCATTATAAAATATTATTATAAAATGTGTTCTGTATTATATTGTTTCCCTTGCAAAAACCTCGAACCATGACACTCAGTGTGAAAGCCCTGGGTTTAATCCTCAGTACCACAAGTAATGATAATAATAATAATGTAATATTTGTGATTCTACAGAATTCTAAGGCTCTGTATATCACCTCCTTTCTCTCCCTCTCCGTTTTCTCCTTCTTTCCTTCTCTTCCTCTTCCTTTTTTATTTGTGCATTTTGAGACAGGGTCTCCCCGTGTCTCCAGGCTGGCCTTGCGCTCTGGGCTCCTCCCACCTCAGCCTCCCAGCGCTGGCATTCCAGGCACCGGGCGGGACACCTTTCTAACACTCTTTCCAGTCTCCCGAGTGGATGAGTGCTTCTAAGCGCCTAGATGTGTGAGGAACTCTAGCTGAGTGCAGATTTCACAAAATGAAGATACCTGTGCAAGCTTTCTGAAAAATCTTCATGTTATGCTCCTTTATGCTTTAGCCGAGAGTCTTGGCTTTATTTTTGTGGATGAATTTAAGAATTTGAGTATCTGGGAAGATTCTTGCTGGCATCGGAAATGTAAACACCGCCAGACTCACAGAGAAAAGGCCCAACTGTTTCTTGGGCGGCCGGGGGTTGGGCGGCCGGGGCTCCCTGCGGGGTGGGGACGTCCAGGCCAGAGCCGGTGGCACGGAGGCGGCACTGGGTCAGGGTCACCAGGGCGCTGGGTCACAGGGCCCTCGGTCGGGTTGCGCCGTCCCCACGCGGGCGAGGGGCGCCGTGCAGGGGGCTCAGGTCTGGGCAGGGGGAGCTGGGACCCGCGGGCGGCTGCGCCTCACTCCCGCTCCCACGCAGGGCCTCTACGTGTTCGTGGTGTACTTCGTCCTGCACAACCAGACGTGCTGTCCCCTGAAGGCCAGCTACACCGTGGAGGTGAACGGCCACCCGGGCCCCAGCCCGGCCTTCTGCACGCCCGGGAGCGCGATGCCGGCGGCGGGCGAGGAGGTCAGCAAGTCCACGCAGAACCTCATTGGCGCCCTGGAGGAGGTGAGGCACCCCTGCCTGTCCCTGCCCCCATCTCCCTCCTCCTCCTCCGGCCGGCCCTCGCCTCCCCTTCCCCAGACCTCCCCTCCCCCTCTTTTCTCCCTTCCCGCTCCAGTAGGACCTTTCACTTCCCTCCTGCCTACCCCTCCCCTGCCTTTCTCCCCCACGGCCTAAGAAGAAGGATTAGGCAAGTGATGCCAGGTGACTCTTAAATCCTTATCTCCTGGGTTCCTCTGCTCTGTGGTCCTTTTTGCAGGGTAGCAGACTTCTCACCATGTTTTCGGGAATTCTCTTGTTTTTATTAGTATGTGTTTGCCATCCACGATCACGTTCCTTGGTTCACAGTGTGCCGCGTTATTAATTCATGGGAGAATGGTTCTTAAGGCCATCATTTCGTCATCTTTGATGTGTAATTAAACACGTTATTATAAATCAGTAATTTCTTAAAAGATTTTGGATTAGATTTTTCCTTTTAAAAGCAGTATAAAAGATGTTTTGTCTGTCTGTCTGTCTGTCTGGTTGGTTGAGACAGACCTTGCTATGGAGCCCAGGCTGACCTCAAATTCATGGCGCTCCTGCTTCAGCCTGCTGAGTGCTGGAGTCACTGGTATGTGCCGCCACACTGTCTTGTCAATGTTTGGGTCAGTACAAGTTTTCAGGTGCCGGCGCTCCCGTTGGTCCTTCACTCTCCCTCCACCCGCCTACCCTCGCCCCTGCATTTGGGGCCCTTGGCTTTCCAGGAGTCTCTCTCCCTACTTCCGATTAGCTGTCTTTTATTTGGCTCTTTAATTCCGTTACACTTTGGGCTTCTCCTAAAGAGAAACAGTGTGACACTGAAGCTCAGTGTCTGCTTTAATTCCTGGGACACCACACCCAACAGGCTCCCCTTCCCGCCTGCCCCGGTTTGCGGAGTGGGATACACACAGCTGGCCTGGCTGCATTCAGGATGACCCCAGGAAGGGTTGTGCTTGCAGCAGGCCCCACAGCCTACCTCCACTGGGAGTACGGACCCTGCCGCAGGTGCTGCGGCGATAAACTGGCCATGCTCAGAGCAGGAGCCGGGTCCCTCGGGATCCCACCCTCCATGCCCAGGCCAGCTAGCTGCACCCAGCCACAGCTGAGATCCTGCGTGTGGCTCCCACCGCACACCCAAGGACCCTGGCCAGGAGGGGCAGGCAGTCATCCTCCTCCCTTTCTGTCTCCGCTACCTGAGAGGTGGAATAAAAAACAGTGAAAGTTAAATTTAACAGTAACTTATTAAACATTTAAAAAAAAAACCCGTTTATCAAGAAAATTATGGGAAAATAAATAATTCCTAAAAAAAAAAAACCATCCTGCCTTTAGTCCCTGTCAAAGCCCTCCCCTCCCTCTGGGCACGCTCATCCCACCCTTCCCCCACTTTCTGCTGCAGTGCTGGAGTCCTCCCTCCTGAGTGTCTGTAGCTGTGCTGTTCTGGCTGCCTCATCCTGAGTCCACCCAATGTTTCCTGTTATGATCATTTGACTATGGGGGAGAGCTGGAAAACATGCCGTGTCAGGTCTAATGGAAGAGGATGAGGACGAGCCTTTATGGCGGGTGGCAACGGGCAGCAGCATCACCTCTTTTCTTATCCACACTGTGAAGACCCTGGTGAAAGAGCACTTGGGAGCTGCTCCAGAAAGTGGCAAGAGCCGAGCATGGTGGTGCAGGCCTGTGATTACAGCACTCAGAAGGCTGAGGCAGGAGGATAGCCGGCCAGCCTGGGCTACACAGGAAGTTCAAGGCCAGCCTTACCAAGATAGAGAAACCCTGTCTCAAAGAAAAAAGTGGCAAGAACAATGGGGAAAGTGTGTTCCAAGCAAGGGTGAGGAGTTGTTTTTTTTTTTGTTTTTTGGGGTTTTTTTTTTTTGGCAGAACCAGGGATTGCACTCAGGCCCTTGTGCTTGCCAGGGAAGTGCTTATTCTTCTGAGCCATCTCCCTGCACCCCCCCCCTTTTTAAGGGGAGGATTTTGAGAGTGATCAATGACAATGTCTACTGCAATGAAGTCTTCATGTATAAACATTCACCATATAGTACTTATGATTGTACTTATGATTCCTACTGTAGCTAAAATATGACATTTTAGATTAATGATTAGGAGCATTCTTCTCCACAGAATTCCCTTCATGCACATTATGCAAAAAATGTAAATGTATTTGCTGGATTAAAAGTCATCTTTCAGGCCAGTCATGGTGCACACCTGTAATCGTAGCAGTCAGAAGTGAGGCAGGAGGATCCCTGCAGTCTAAGGCCGACGTGGGCTACAGAGTGAGTTGAAGGCCAGCCTGAACTGCATAGTGAAACCTTGTCTCAAAAAATGACCAAAAAACCCCTACTTGCCAGCCTAGAAATCCACATCATATTCAAATACAGAAGTTGCTTAGAAATCACCAGGATAGATTGGCTAAGGGAGAGAGGTCATGTCCTAAAATGGTAGTTCTTGATTTTAGAAACTCTGTAGCATTTTCCCATCTCTTGAGTTGCTCACTGGGGATGGATTCTGGTCTCTTCCTCTCTGTGCCCACCCGCAAAGGTGCTGCCCGACTGGGAGCGCGCATCCTTCCAGCAAGCCAGCCAGGCCAGCCCTGACCTGAAGAGCAGCCCGCAGAACGGCGCCCCCTTCCCTTCCCCGGGCGGGTTCAGCCAGGGCTCGCTGATCGCCGATGAGGAGTCCCAGGAGTTTGATGACCTGATCTTTGCGCTGAAGAGTGGTACGTACACTTCGTCCCCTTCCCCCCAAATCACAGAATCCCGTTCTCATACATCCTGATTCTCATGTCCCGTTCCTAATCCCAGCCAAACTCGAGGACATTTTGTTCTTGGCACCAAATAGAACACAACCTAAAAATAATTTACAATTTGCTTTTAAGAAATCAAAAGCCATGCTGTGACTAAAGGTAAATATCTCTATCCAGGAACCTTCTAGAACACAAGGTACTCTGGAGGCAAGTTCAGCAGGAGGAGTTTTGCCTCTGACCTACCAAAAGACCTTTTGATTTTCTGACAGGTTCTTACTCTGTAGTTTAGGTAGGCCTTGAACTCACTGTGCAGCCCAAGAAATGATCTTCCTGCCCCAGCCTCCCGAGTGCTGGGATTTCAGGCATGCCCTACCTTCTGTCTCAGTCGATTCTTGAGGAATATGTCAGCTTTAAATAGACTGGGCATGAACAGTGGCTTATGGATAGAGCGAATAGGATTAACCAAAGCCCGAAGGCTTTAGTGTGTGGCCCGGCTTCCAAGGGGCCAAGGAGCCCAGCAGCGGGTGTGATGCACAGCACTGCAGTAGCCACTGGGCTGACCCGTCAGGGACCAGGGAGTATCGGAGTATCTCCTTGAGCTAGTTGTAGCCAGGCCTCTACGGAAGGGTCCTCTGGCCACATACTTTGGGCAGCTGCAGATACTGACATGTACATTATCATTTTAGCAACTTTGAAACTTCTTAGATCCTGGTATGGTGGTACATGCCTGTCATCCCAGCACTGGGGAGGCTGAGGCAGGAGGAATGAGTTCAAAGCCAGCTTGGGCTGTATAGAAAAACTATGTGTCAAAAAGCCATGGAGCCATGGAGGTTTCAGAGCAGAGGCCTGACCTGGCCATGGTGGTTCTGGAGCAAAGTGTCTTTGTCTATTTGCCTACAATGGAACAGGAGCTCAAGCTGGACTCAGGCCTGGTGGCTTCTGGATATTCAGGGTGGAACTCAGACAGGGATGGGGGGGAGAAGGGATGGGGGCGTAGGTGGGAGGGGCAGCATCCAGGGAGCATCAACACACATCCTGTGTGCAGCTTGGTGTGGTCGACTGGGAGGAGAAGAGAGGAGAGAGATGGAAGGCCCTGGGAGAGGAGGGAGAAAGGGAGGGAACACCAGAAAACAGCTCAACACATTGAAGGCTTGTCCTCATCGCGGTGTGACACAGTCTCCAACAGCCACATCTGAAAGGAGAAGTTCATTTTGGCTCCAAGAAGAAACAGCATTACGGAGGGGCCTGATTGGAGCAGCTCACCACAGGGTGGCTGGGAAGCTCAGTGTGTGGGGAGGGGCTAGGGAGGGAGATAAACCCGGCCGTGCCACGCCCCCTGACCACATCTTCCAATCAGACCCGAGGGGAGGGATTAAACACTGCCAGGCCACTCCCCCACAGCCACTTCTTCCAATCAGTCCCGTCCTTGTAATAGGTCAGCTATGGGCCTGCATAATCAGTCCAGGTTGCAAAGCCCGGCCTGTGAGCGCAAGGAGGCTTTCGGGACATCTAGCTACAAACCCAGACAAGAGTGAAGAGAAGAGAGAGTACCAGAGAAACCCCAGCAAGGTCAGAGGGAAGAGAGCTTCCAGGAGAGAGCAATCACCAGCAGCAGGCGGCCTCCAGACGGCAAACCGTGCCCAGGACAGATGGTGTCCCCGGCACCACATACAGGGTCCGGTGACACCAGAAACATGAAGCGAATTCTTAGAGCATCATTCAATTAGATCCCTGGTTATATATGGAACAAGTATCAGATGCATTTGCCTGAGGAATGCACGGAATGACTTGCTTACTTATAGATTTAGTTGAGCATTCCTGAGGGTTTCCTAAACTCACCAGGAAATAAATACTTTCCAAGATTGAAATCACGATTGCCGGCATCAGATCCCTGTATTTTTAGAGAAGGTACTTTAATACCCAAGCAAGCCCTCCCGTACATGTTCCATCAGAGAATGTAGTGAAGTGAAAAAGCAACTTGCTAGTAGCCCTTCTGTCTGCAGAATAAGTTGTAGTTCACCCACAGACCACAGCCAGTATTTGAAGGTTTTTGGACCCAATCTTAAAATGTACATAGCCCATAAAAATCCAGGATTTCTGGGGAAAAAAATCTAGCAGTGGAAGGCCTGATATCTGTACCACACGGGTGACTGGGGCAAAGTACTGGCTGCCCCTTGACAGGAGCATAGTCTGTTCAGTGTCCCCCAAACCCTGGCTTACGGTGGCCCCCAACCTACCTCTGTGCATCCGTGGGCCACTCCCAGTCAAGTGCTGAGGGCAGTGGGTTTTCCAAGTGGGCATCCTCTGATCCTGTAACCACCCTTTAGAAACTAGGGCTCCCTTTCCATATATTTAAATATTTTAAATTTTGCATTATAAATTTTAGTATTATTAAATATATTTCATTATTTTTAAATTAAGCTAAAGATGTTTCAGAACCTTAACAACTTGACGTTAATATAAGGCCTCCAAATAACATAGGAGAATTAGAGGTACCTTCCAACCTGCTAGGTCTCTGATATACTGAGTTTGTGTTCCCTGAGGTCCAAGAATTAATTCTAAAGAACAATGGAGAACCTGGGCATAGTGGCATGCAAGCCTGTAATCCCGGTTCTTGGGAGGCTGTAAACAGGTGGATCACTACGAGTCCACTCTAGTAGTGAGACCCTGAAGACCCTTCCCTAAAAAAAAAAAAAAAAAAGTGGAGGTGAAGAGTAGAAAATTTTATTGAGAGGGACACAGCTTCTGAGAGATAGGAGGGGACCCAAGTGAGTTGCCAAGGAGCCAACTTCTCAGGAATTTTTATGAGCAATCAATACTACGATCAGATGGATGAATGAATGGATGAATGTACGGACGGAGGATAGGTGTATAGGTAGAAGGTTGGATGGATATCTATCATTAGATGGATAGATGGATGCATACATGGGTGGATGCATGGACAGACTTCCAGGAAATGGACTAAGTAGCCCTTTTAATAGTGTTTGATACCACTTTCTTCACCCTTTCAATCCTACTTAAACCTCATCAACTTCCAATTAGAAGTAATACTGAGATGTATGAGCACTCAGTCAGGTGCCTTTCCCGGGGGTAGTTGACAGGATTCCATCTCCCTGGGAGCCACAGGAGGCCTGACTCTGTGCCAGGGCACTCACTCTCTAAGTGTGTCCTTTGAGAAGGGCTCAGGTCCTGCGGCTCTGACTTCACCCATTATGGACCACGGCTCTCTACCTCCCGGTTGCCAGGAGAGGAGCTGCCTTTCCTTCACTGCACCTCTCTGAACAGTGCTTCTGCCTCAGAGCAGCCAACCCTGGATTAAAACTTTGGAAACCAGGAGCCAAATAAACCTTTTCTCCTGTTAGTTACCAGACTCAGGTATTTTGTCTCCATGACAAAAAGCTGACACAGGCTGCAAAGTCAGCTAGCACATGGCATTCCAGGGCTTCAGTGTCCTGGTGGGGGTCTTCCTTGAGGACTGGACTTTGAGCTTCTTCCTTTGTCCAAGAGAGTGACACTGGTGCTCTGAGTTCCTTGGCAGTGGCCGTGGCTGGCCATCCCAGGGAAGAGCGGCTGTTATCACTGTTAGTGGGTTCATCTCACATTCTTGGCTCAAGATATAACACAAAAATACCTATCAGAAAATCACAGTCCTTAGCTGGGTGTGGTGGTGTGTGCTTGTAATCTTAGTACTGGGGAAGCTGAGGTAGGAGGATGACCATGAGTTCGAGACCAGCCTGAACTGCACAGTAAGATTCCATCTCCAAAAGCAGACAAATAACTGTAAAATCCCAATACTTTCTGCAAAGTGGGTGAAGGCCAAGGGATGGAGGCTGCTGCTCCTGGGTATCACGCTGGGTCCTCTGTGCCCAGCTCCCCGTGGGGACAGCCGTGTCCCTGAGACCTTAGCTCTACCTCAATCACCTCAAGCTGCTGTCAGCCCCAGCCAGCTCCTTGTACCTGTTGTTTGAAGAGAAGGTCTCACTATGCAGCCCAGGCTGGCCTCTAGCTCACAGCAACCCTCCTGCCTCAGCCTCCAGAGTGCTGGGATTACAGACATCTGCCATCACACCAGCTAACTCTGTGTCTTCAGATATTGATTTCTATTTCTGAAAACTACTAAAGTCAATTTAAGATTTATTTCCATCATTGTTAGTATTAATATATAAATATGTGTGTGTGTGTGTGTGTGTGTGTGTGTGTGTGTGTGTGTTATTACTGTAGGGCAAGCAAGTTTGGGCTTGCGGCAGCTTCATTTTTCTGTCTTCATCAGTCCCTGCTCACAGTGGGGGCAGCAGGAGCTGGTGGTGGCCTCGCCCACCTCCCCCATCTCCAACACTCTCCCTTCCATCCCAGCTCCCTTGTGTGCCTACAGCTGTGCTGGGACAGGAAGTCACCCACTCTGTGCTGTCCCTGTCCCCACAGGGGCTGGCCTCAGCGTGAGTGATGCGGAGTCAGGCCAAGGCAGCCAGGAGGGCGGCACGCCGAGTGAGTCGCAGATCGTGGAGCTGCGGCGGATCCCCATCGCGGACACGCACCTCTAGCCGGGGTGGAGAGCGCCCACGCGAGCCCCCGACTGTGGAGCTCCCCGCGCCTTCGCGCTTTCTAATCGCCCCACTTGGCAACTCTGTCTAAATGAGAGTAATCAATAAAAGCAGTAGGACCCACTGGCTGTGATCCAGGTGCATCATTTACAAACAAGTGTTTGTAAACAAAAAGAGAAGAGTGACTGGACGAGGCTGAGGCCTTCTTATTGATACAAGCCATCTGGACCCAAGGCTTCGTGCAGCCAGAAGGCACAATTTGATTCCTGCAAAACCATAAGATTACGTCCTGGTGTGGTGGCACATGCCTGGAATCCCAGCAATGGGGAGGCTGAAGCAGGAGGATCTCTACAAGTATGAGGCCAGTCTGCAGGGCAGAGTGAGACCCTGTCTCAAAAATCCAAAAGAAAATTGAAGTCCTGGTGGTAAGATTGGCTTTCCCTTCCTTGAGTGGCAAACAAGCTGTCCCTATGTCTGTGGTACTGCCTAATCTGCCTCACGCCGAGGTAGCCCTGACTAGGGAAATGGGTTACGGTGCATAAAACACGGTGAACATGTTGAGACTCATCGGTATTCCAGCGTTGGTGGGCTTCATGGCATTTGGGCTTGGGGTGCGGGCCACAGAGTCTGAGGGCGTGCTTGGGAGCGCAGTGACACGGCAGCCCTTCTGGAGGAGTCTGAATGCTGGCCCCGCCTGCTCCGGCCGGCTGCTGACCGCTTTCCAGCCCCCGGCGCTTAGGAGCCGCCGCTCTTTGGGGCTGGCTTCTCCCTTCAGGTTCTGCCTTCACTGTTACAGATTCTTGTTTGCTTGTTTTACTTTGGTTTTTTTGTTTCCTTTTTGTATTTTAGGGAAGGGTCTACAGGATGTTCAGGGTCTCACTACTAGCTGGGACTTGGAGTGATTTGCCTGTTTACAGCCTCCCAAGGGCTGGGATTACAGGCCCACGCCACCATGCCCAGTCTCAGTTGCACAGCGCACCCCAGGGGTGGGCTGGCATGGCAGGCCTGGAGGATTGATGTTTGTTTGTCTTTTTAAAAAGAAAAAAGATTTTTAAAAATGAAGCTGAGCTTCAACACAGGCTAGGAGGACAGCTATAGCGGCTGATACTCTGCCTGCTGTTGGCTTCCTGGTAGTGCATCAGAGTGGTCAACCGAGGAAAGGCTGGCAGATGTGGGTTTCTGTACAATGAAGTGCTGTTCACCTATAAAGCAGGGCAGGCTGGAGATTCCTATAGGGCAGTGGGTGCAACCTGAGGCCATACTCATGGGTGAAATAAATCAGACCGATGTGCAAACATCGCACTGTCTCCCTGGTGGGAGAAACTCCACAAGAACGTCGTGTTTGGGATGCACAGTAAACACTGTGAACCAGGAAGGAACTGTTCAGGTGCGTTTTGGGAAAAGGATCCAAAGGCCCCCATGCCCCACCCAGGGCCTCTAGTGTGACGGGGACAAGTGCTGGGAAACCCAGTGCAGAGCCTTGGTCAGGGCTCGGGGATGCAGGGTGGACGCCGACCCGGCTGCTGCTCAGGACACCGCCAGGCTGGGCCTCGCCCCAGCCAGCCAGGCTTGTGCTCTCAGCAGCCTGGTCCTGCCCCGCCCGTGGCTTTTATTCTCTTTCCTGAGACGAGAGTCACCCGGTAGCCCTGCCTGGCCTCGGACTCGTGGGGCCCCCCTGGCAGGATTGAAGGGTGCACAGGGCCCCTTCCTGACTCCTGGGCAAACTTTTCCTGACCTGGCTCCCACACTACCGGAGGAGCAGAGTCCAGGGATCACACTGTCCCCAGGCCAAGCAGAGATGTGGGTTTTGCCTCCTGGAGGGCCGGGGAATGAAGCACAGCTCCAGAAGCGAGCGGCTGGGCCGTCAGGATCTGGACTGGTAAAGTGAATCTGGTGCACTGGCTGCATGCACACACAAATCTCCTCAAATTTTATGCCATACAAAATGCTAAACTGGATGTAGTGGTGCACGCCTGTAATCCCAGCATGTGGGAGGCTGAGGCAGAAAGATCTCTGAGTTTGAGGCCAGCCTGGGCTACAAAATGAGTTCAAGGCCAACCTGAACTGCATATGAAGACTGTCTCAAAAAGACAGACAGACAGACAGACAGACAGACAGACAGACAGACAGACAGATACACACACACACACACACACACACACGACTATAGCAAAAAGAAAACATTTACAAAAATTAGAAAGTCCCAGCCTGCTGTATGAAACAGTCACACGCACAAGTGTCACCACTTGTCCGGTGTCCCCAGGGGAAGCTCCCTGTGGGCTTGGGTCCCAGTTCTGGCGGCCATCTGCGAGCTGCATGGGAAGAATCCAGAATGCGCACAGGACTCCCAGCAGACTGCAGAGCCTCCAGGCCACCCCCTGCCTAGCCCAGGGACAGGATCTGTGGCCACAGCACGCACCCACGCTGTCGCCATGGCAAGGAACAGCGCTTGAAGCTCCTAGCGCTGCCCCAGGAATCCCCGTCAAGGAGTCCCCTAGGAGCCTCCAGTTGGGGCTGAGACTGGGGAACAGCGGCGGAGCTGGCGCTTTGGAAGGATTCACGGTGGGCACAGCAGACCTCACTTGTCACCTACGATTCGCCGGGGGCGCTCGTGAGCAAAGTCCCAACACTGGCGGTTTATGCTCAGGGTGCGTAGGCAAGCGGCTGCTCAGTGACACCCGGGGAGAAAAGGGACACTTACGGAACTTTGTTTTTTGATACAAGAGCCTCACCACGCAGTCACGGCTGGCCTCGAAGTCACTGCGTCGCCCCGCCCAGGCTGGCCTCAGCCTGGCTCACGGTGATCGCCGGCCGCAGCCTCCCGGGCGCTGGGGTCTCAGGTGCGCGGCACCAAGCCCACGCGTGCGTGGCACTGAATGCCAGGGCCTTGCTTGGCTTTGGCCCCCTGGGACTTAGCGCAGGCGCCGAGGCCACGGCAAAGCTCAGCTTCACTTAGTACTCTAAGGGTCAGCTATGTTACGAAGAGGACACACCTGTGTGCTTGTCAGAAGGAAGGAGAAGTGGCAGACCCCGGGGCGCTGCGAGGCCGCGGTCGGCGCTGCCACCGCGGAGGGCTCTTGGGTGCGGATCATCTCAGCTGTGACCCAGCAAGCTCAGGGCGCCTCGGCACGCGGGCACTCAGAGAGCAGCTGGGGAACTGTTTTGGCTTGGTTTTCTGTAAGAGAATTTTTCTTTTTAAATTTTTGGTAATGCGCATGTGTAGCACCCGGTGACATCCCTCGTGGGGGGATGGATCAGGCACAGAACACGCAGTGTCCCTTTGCCACCCCTCCTCTTTCCTCTCCCTCTCTTGGCCTGTTTCCCATCTGAGAAAGGTCTGCCTGCCTATTTCCTGTCATCTATCTTAATTTATGTGTTTACTTCTTTAGGACCGGGAATCGAACTCAGGGCCGCATGCTTGCCAGGCAGGCTCTGTGCGGCTGAGCTACATCCCCAGCCCATCTACCTTTTATTTTGTTCTTTACTTATACTTTGGATTTCTCATGTAAGAGAAACCATGTACTACTTCAGCACGTGCCTCTGATTCATTTCACTTAACATTAGGCTCGCTAATGACTCGCTTGTCCTTCTTTGCGGCAGAGTAGGGTGTGTCGCTACACGCTTTCCTTATCCACCCATCTGCTGATGGACACACAGGCTTCCCAGAGTCAGCTGTGACGGGCTGTGCTGCTACGAGCACGCGACGTCTGGGGAAATCAGCACGGACAGTCCTCAGAAAGCGAAAACGAGGAATCCCACTTGAATCTCTAGTCCTTTTCTAGGCAGCTACTGCTTCTTCTTTCTTTCTTTTTTTTTTTTTTTTCTTGCGGCTCAAGCTACCCGAAGGGCAGGTCTGGTAAGGCAGGTGGAACTGGAGATCGAACTGGGGCAACCTGCTCCTGACTGCCTTAAACAACTGAGCTAAGGGCAGGCCCCCGAGTTATATTACAGTGAATTATTGTGATGTGCCAGGCATGGTGTCTCTCTCTCGCTCCCCCTTTTTCCCTTTCCCTCTTTCTCGCTCTCCCTCTCTGCCCCCTCTCGCCTCCCCCCCATCTCTCTCCCCTGCCGCCCTCTCAGCACACAGTGTGAAGCAGGCGTCAGGAGCTGCCGTGTGCCAACAATTATCCAGTAGACAAACTCGGTGATGCTGTTCACTTGCATGGTGTGCTGTTTCCTCTGTAATTCAGACTCTTAGACCACACCTGCTGGGAGCTAGGAAGTCCTATGGAGGAAACCACTCTACTGGATAAGAAACAAAAGAACTTATAAAAATAAATATGACCAATTATGGACTCTACTACTAAAGAAAACTTCAGTATATAGGACACAGCATAGCTTTTCATCATGAGTCTCATTTTTAAAATTTTTTTGAGACGGGCTCACTCTGCACTTCAGGCTGACCTTGAACTCATAATGTAGCCCAGGCTGGCCTCAAACTCAAAGCAACCCTCCTATCTCAGCCTCCAGTGCTGGGGACACAGGCGTGGATCACCACTCCCAGATGTGAAACTCATGTTGAAAGCAAGGAAGAGCTTGAGGTGGGCCAGGGAGATAGCCCTGCAGCCTAAGCACCCGCCCTGCAAACTCAAGGACCCGGCTTTGATCCCGGTAAGCATGCCACACCGCCTTGCTGGCCCCTGAACCAGGTGTGGTGGTGCACGCCTGTAATCCCAGCTCTGGAGGCTGAGTAGGAGGATCGCTATGAGTCCGAGCACCGTAGCGAGACCCTGTATGAAATAAATAAATGATTTTATAAATAACAACAACAACAAAAGCAGAAGAGCTGGAAGTGAAGTTCAGGAGTCGAGCACTTGCCAGCCAGCAAATAATAAAAGAATAAGCCCTGTTCAATTATAGCTTGAACTGTCGTGGGTCCGTACAGTTAACTACTGAGAGCCCAAACGGCAGCGTTCCACCCACGCAGGCTGAATGCTCATTACGTACCTCAAGTCGAAAGCAATGCATAAAAAATGTTTTAAAATAAAAGATAAACTGGCTTCTTTGGTAACACACATATTAAAGCAGCGAGTCCAGGACACGAAGCCTGTCAGCTACTCGCTAAATGTGGAACACGGAAGGGCGAGGGCCGTTGTGGTGGACGCTTGGCTCCC